CGCATCTTCCCAGTACTTCATCAAACGTCCTCCCTGGCCGCTTGGCTAAGGAATTTCGGCATAACCCCGGGAGCAGCCCTCGAGTGAGTCCTCCCGACTTGATCTCTTCGGTGGCCGATGGGACGTCGACGCACGCCCGAGTGTACCTTGCCACGTAATCCCTTAATGATTCCCCTTCTTTCTGTTGCATTCCTATCAAAGTGAGGTACGATTTCTCTTGTGCTTTCACACTCGCGAATTGATTCAAGAAACTCGAACTAAATCCGTCAAAGTCTTTTACGGCTCCTGGGGGCAGTTGATGAAACCAATCCTGGGCTGGTCCCCGTAAGGTTGTCAGGAACGCTCGACATTGAACGGGGTCATTGTAACGGTGCAGTACTGCCATGTTTTCGAAACTTCTGAGATGTCGAGAGGGATCAGTCGACCCATCATACCAGATATTGAGCTCCCTGAACCCCTGCGGCAAGTCGGCATCTAGGATGTGTTGCGAAAAAGGATGTCCCCTCGAGCTTCCTGCCTTTCTTCCTCCCACTCGAGCCTGCAAGTCTCGGACCTGCGCTAGCAGCTGCTCCAGAGTGTCATTTCTAGCCTGTGGATTAACAGTTCTGACAGAGGACTCCTCCTCCTCCACACTCCTGTTCTGCCTTTCATGTGATTGTGCTTGTTGCTCGCGCTCCGGGGGCTGCTGTTCGTTTTGGAGTTGTTCAAACCTCGCTTGTTCGACCCTGGGCTGCTCGACTCTTGGTTGCTCAACTGGTGTCCGTTTGAGTTGGGCCGCCACTGCCTCTGCGATCATTCTCTGCATTTCGCTTCTCGTCATGGTCACCATTTGTTCATCGCCTTGGGGCGGTGGCCTTACCTCCTGGTCGAGTCGCCCAGGCTGCCTCCCCATCCTTAGAGAGATTTCGGTTGATGCGCGATCACCTGTTTCTCCGCTCGTGTCCTTCACGTGGCTGGTCTCCCCCTGCGTGAGAACCGGGATCTTGCCTCCGGGTGGGGTAATAGGCGTCTCTTCTCCGGTACGCCCTTCTAACGGCGCGTGTGCCCCAAAAGGTGGGAATCCCAGCACCTGAAGCGGTGGTCTAAAACCGGGAATCGGCGGAGGTCGCTTATCCGTCCATGTTGCTCTGAAGTTCTCGTTCAAGTTTTTCTGCACCCCTTCCTTCTCAGCCATCGGAAACAGATCCAAGCTAGGTGTAAAGCTCTTAATTCCTTCAAGAGCTCCCCACAGACGGCGCCAAATGATGGGTCTGCTCTCAGATCTGGAACGGTTTGGTAAGAAAACGTCCGGATCTGGGATGAACCGGTATGAATGAGCTTAGATCTGGCCTGATGACCTTCGAGCCGTTGCTGAATCGCACGAACACCTGCAAGAACTCAACGCCGGAGGGTTTTTCCGGCGTAGAGCCTCCGACGCTCAAGTCAGTATGTGAGAGAGATGGTGGGGGCTGCTATCAGAGCAGCAGCAGTAATAGAAATATATGGAATGAATGGGAGTTAGGGTTTTGGGATTACCTCAGTCCTTTATATAGGAGT